AGAGAAAGGTACTGAGTTTGAGTACCAGAGTAAACATCAACAAGTCTGAGATGCAGGTACATCCAACTGACGAGTCCCAAATAGGACGAAACATGCATCCTGGATTCCACTTCTAGCCACTATTCATCATTGCTTATAATGTTTGTCTAGGAATGTATAAATGTAGCAATTATATTGATAGGTATATTAGTAACGACATAAAATGTGTGTTGAATATCTGAAGGGGAGTACAATTGCTTAGAAAGCAGACTAACGTTGATTTTAAACACCGTTTTCAAGTAAAGGTGATTTCAGGTTCATAGTTAAAAAAAAATGGCACATAACTTAGTTGCAGTGATTGAAACTTTATACGTTCAGAAAATCTTGATGAGGATATGGTTTATTTTGATTATAGTTTGATTATTATTGAGTCCGTCACACTCAATCTAGTCGTAGTATTCCTTGAACTCTAGATTTCAGCTACTGATCATCTAATATTCTTGCAATCTATCCAAACATAAACTTCCATGAAAACTCATAACGTTTATTATCAATTTATCAACTTATCTTAATAGTTCAATCAAATTATAACTATTTATTTAAATAGTTAAATTCATGAGTCGATTGAAACTAGATGACCAATAAAAACCTGGAAGCACTGGATGGTCATTTTGTTCTAGTATGGAACTCTTGAACAGTGCATATTTATGATCCCACATCAAAGGGAATTGAACCCAGGACCTTCGGTCTCACGCGCAAAAATGCTTAACCTCTAGACTATTGAGCAGACATCTAACGGTGTCAATGTTTAACTTCGATCAATCCATGATTTTGCGCAACCATTCATCATTCAAAACGACACATCGCAAGATTCGAGTCAATGACCTATTAGTCTCACGCGCGAGCTCTTAGCCGATAGTCCACTGAACTTGCCGACATCCAACGGTGTTAATGTCTAACTTCAATCAATCCAATATGTTTGAGCATCCATTCACCAATGTATTCAGTGAGTTGATATCTCTACAACAGACCTGGTTGAACTCCACTTGTTACTGCTTCAATTGACTCATGATCTCAACTATATAACATTACTAAAATCTTTACAAAACCTCTTTCTGATAAATTTTTTAATTACTTGAATAAACAGGATCTAATTTCATGTACTTTGACCATCATTTTTCTTCAAAACTATGTATTATCATTCTATTCATTTCTTTCTATTCTATATAGATCAAACTACTGTAACTCGTGGTTGTTTAAGTGATTTAATAATGAATACCCAATATCGTTTAGATATGCCACAACTTCGTCGTCATGGTTATTGTGTTAATTCTCGTGATTATCAACATTATTTATTGGGAGTTCTAAAAGGGAAAACTTTAGTTGAAACTGCTATGGGATTATTTAGTGATGAAAATATGGATTTTAAACGTTTTTGCTATTGTAATGATTGGAATGGTTGTAATCATGTAAATAATTTGAAAGTTTCAACAATTTTAATTTCATTTATTATAATTTTGACACTTTTATGGATTCATTGAAATATTTTTCACTACATATTTTTTATCTTTTCATTACGACACTACTAACAAATTTGTAAGTAGTTAAAATCGTTTAACTAAAAATATTTTGATTTTGATTATTTTGGATTGTACATAATCATGAATGAATATCTGAAATTGTTAATTTATAATGTTTAGTAATATTTTGTAAGTTATGAAGGAAAAATTTGTTTACAATAGAAGAGATTTTACGATTAAAAGTTTAATTCTACAGTGAATTTTTTTTACGTTTTTCGCGAAGGATGATGTCTTTGTATAGTTGTGAATTGAGATTTAAAGTAATCAGTCCCCTTGATAAATTTCAGTAGTGTAATATAAGAAGACGAAGATTCTCAAAAAGTGCACCCACCTGATAACTGCTGGATGCAAGTGCTATTCTAAATTAAATTCTCACTATGTATGTTCTTTTTTTTATTCTATTTAAATGGTATTGACCGAGCAGGCTATGAGTCGATATCAAAAAAAGAGAAGAATTTTAAACGATTTCAGGATGAGTATTAGATATTTTCTAAGCTTTATTAAATGACCTAATCCAAGTAAATTTGGAAATCTTACTGCGAAGTGACGAAGGTGGTTTATTAAGGTCTTAAAGGATAAGCTTTGACAAACCAATGAAGCAATCTTGGATGGTTCGAGCTAATGACTCTAGTGTAATGGTTATTGAATTAAAAAAGTTATGATACTAAAGTGTCAATGAAAAGGATATGTAATTTAATACAGGGGAAATAGGCAACTATCAAAAGCAATTCTTTATTTCCCGTTAAATCAGGCGCTTAGATTGTTCATTTGAACAATCAACAGGTTTTCGGATAAATTACTCTAGTAAAGTAAAGTTCTGAAACGTGGAGAACTACTACGACCATCATCAGGAAGGTACAAGTATTTATAAACCGTTGTCTACGCAAAATACTCAACATCCATTGGCCGAATACTATTAGCAACAGCCTTCTGTGGGAGAGGACAAACCAGCTTGCAGCTGAAGAGGAAATCAAGAAAAGACATTGGAAGTGGATCGGACATACATTAAGGAAATCACCAATGTGCATCACAACTCAATCCCTAACTTGGAATCCGGAAGGGAAGCGGAAAAGAGGAAGGCCAAAGAACACACTACGTCGGGAAATAGAAGCCGATATGAAAAGGATGAATAACAACTGGAAAGAACTGGAAAGGAAGGCTCAGGACAGAGATGGATGGAGAATGCTGGTGAGCGGCCTATGCTCCTCAACGAGGGGTAGCAGGCGTAAGTAAGTAAGTAAGCAATAATAGTATTAATAATAACAACTAATAATATTAATATTATTATTATTGTTATTTTAGTTATGGAGCATTCATTGTTCTTCTGAACAACACCATTAGCACTTACTTCAAAGGCAAATGAGCGATAAGAATTACACCACAGTTAACTAATAGCTTGTTCTGTTTATTTGGGATTCTGTCGATTGTTGTTCATAACTGTTAGGTTGTCTGGATTGAACCGAATTTATCAGCCAAAAACAAAAGAGATCAACAACCGCAGGGTCAGAGTTCAGATCAGGAATAAAAATAGCTAAAATAAACATACAGCAACGACTACACAGTTATAAACAACAACCGGTAGAATCACAGACAAACAAAATAAGCTGTTAGTCAGTTGTTGAGTAATTCTTATAGGTAACTTGTCTTTAAAGTAAGTACTAATGATATTGTTCAGGAGAAAAACGAAAGCTTCACAACTAAACCAACCAGCTTATAAACTACAATACATCCAACACCCTTATCTTGAACTAAAACTATTTTTCATCACCTCAATATTAAGGATATTGCTTATCTCAATCTTCTGTTACAACTTGTTCTAATGATCATAAAGTTTTGTTCTTCAAATGGAGACATAAAATATGATTAGGGTATGGGGTTTCGGAGATTGTTAAGTATTGATTGAGATCATGAGTCGATCAATGTTAGGTCACTACTGAAAACCTGGAAAGAAAATATTTGAACGATTAATGGATATGCTATAACCATTCGGGTGTTCGGTTGATATCATCCCTTTTATAAAAAAAATTCTTTATAATTCCCTTTATACTCTGTAAAATACAATGAAGACCTACTAGCGGTTAACGAAAAAGTAACTAAAGCGGTTTAGAAGGATTTTAGACGTTGAATGAAAATTTGTAATCTGTTCAGTTCTGTTGGGTCCAGATGTTTAAAATCCAGTTACTATAAAACTAGGAACCCATAGAAAAATACGTTCATACTGAGGTAGGCAAATGATTAAGAATAGTTAAAACAGTTCAATTTCATACCAAAACAAGGTAATTCGGTTTGATTGGTTGAAGTAATACATAAACACCATCGAATGCCGGCCAGCTCAGTGGTCTATCGGTTAAGTGCTCTGACACGAGACTGTTAGGTCTTGGGTTGGAATCTTGCGAGGCGAAGTCGTGAATGCGCACTTCTGAGAAGTCCCACAATAGAACGAAACGGCCGTCCAGTGCCATCATAACACGGTATGTTCCCAAATATGTAAGAGTGCTTCAATTCACAATCAAAAGAACATAATTACACTCAATCTCAAAATGGCTGAGAATATTGATGTCTGTGATTGGTGAATATAATATAATAATACATCTCTCAATTCATCACATTGGTAAATAATGTAGGTATAAACAAGTGTTAGGAACCGTTAATAAACAGGCTGTATAGTTTAGGTTTTCCCCCAAAGAACACAGAAAACGAATATTCAAATGGAATCCATTCAAAATATGTGATGGTATAGACTTCACGTTGTCTAATTCTTATTGAATATTGTTATATTGAAACATGTCACAAATTTACGGAACTTCATCTGTCGACTGTTTCATCAGAAATTTGGATCAGTTGAGAGACCATGATTGTGAGGATTAACACAGGCCACTGAGTCTCCTGTCCCTTCCAAACTGAAACTGATCCGATTCAATGGTTGTTGTTCAATTCTTAAAAAATAATTCATTTTGTAAGATGAATTGAAATACACTCATGATACACACACAAGCATACAATCACACACAAACACACACTCATACGGTGGCAACTCTGGAACTCATCTTCATCCAACTGACAAATTCTAAATAGAACTATGTATCACTGATCCTACATTCCACTGATAACCATCATCCATCATTGCTCATATAGTGATAATCATTAAAAAAATATTGATTTTCATGTGAAATTAAATTTAACCAATCTAGTTGAATTGTGCAAATTGTGCAATAAAAATGATTGACCCTGGAACATTATACATGATCATTGATATTGTGTCAAATGAAATTAGTAGAACATTAAATGATGAATAAAACATGTGATGAAATTGATTTTTTTTTATCGATCGATTATTGAAGTTACCAATCATGAGTTTATACATGTTTCTATTTCCATTGATTATTTAAATGGTAACATGATTAACCATATCATATACACATATTTATCATCTAGAAGAGAATGGTAAGTAAATCATTGTTGATTAGTTAAAAGCTTGATTCAATTGAAGCTAGTTCACCAGAGAAAACCTGGAAGCACTGGACGACCATTTCGTCATATTGTGGGATTCCTCAACAGTGTGTATCCATGATCTTGCCTTGTGAACGAGATTCGAATCAAGGACCTACCAGTCTCGCACCAGAACACTTAACTGATAGACCACTGAGCTTACCGGCGTCTATGGTGTTAATATCTAACCTTAACCAATCTACGAAGTCAACCAACCGTTCATCAATTGTCTTCAGTGAGCTGTTATCTCACAACAAATCTGGTTGAACTCCACTGGTCAGTGCTTCCCACTAGAACTCCACGAAATATCTCTTCAATTCAGTCATTGGTGAGCATTTGATTATTATTATTATTATTATTATTATTATTATTATTATCAGAAGGGGGGTTTTTGTGGAGATTTATTATTGTTATAGTTTCAATTGACTCACGCTTTCAACTATGAAAATACTAAATCTCCACTAAAAACCCCCTTCTGATAACATTGTTGATTATGCAATTAATTATGAACTAATATGATATTTTGATAGTTGAAATCATTAGTCAAATGAAGCTAAACCACCATAGAAAACTTGAAAGCACTGGATGGCTTAAAGAGGTATTTCCTTAATTTCTAGTGGGTGTCAGTGACCAGTAGAGTTCAACCAGGTCTGTTGTGAGATAGTAAATCACTGAAGACATTGTTGTATGTGTCGATTAAGTTCGTGGATCGGTACAAATAGATCATTTCAATGGATTCGTGATCTGAATAAAATTCAACAATCTTCACAATGCTACACTGTTAATTAACATGCAATTAAACAATGCAAGATTGTCACCTAATACCATGAATTGATTTACATTAGGTTTGTACTCCATTAAATGTTGACTTATTGGTTAGAACGTTAAACATTAGTTTGCAAGACTGAGTGTTCTGAGTTCGATGCCCGCATGTGGGGTCGTGGATGAGCGCTGTAGAGGAACCTCACACCAACTGTAATCGGTCTTCCAGTTCTTCCAGGATTTCAACACCTGCTTAGCCCAAATCGATTGGTAACCTCAATAAATTTGACAGCATTTGAAAAACAATGTGGGAGAATTTAGTTGAACCAAATTAATATCCGTATTTCTACAGAAGTGAGAGTAAATTAGTCATAAAGATAATAATCCATTCTTTCCACTGTCATCAAACTATAAACTGACGTCCTGTGATGTGACAAGTATTGAGGTATAGTGAGAAGTGATTCAAACTAGGGAAATTCTAATGCGTCCATGAGAATACATAGATATGAGAGCATAGATTTTAACAGTTTACACCTTACGAACTGATTTTACACAACGTTAGGGAGTCGTACATCATCAACATTAGCACCGGTTTATTTGAACATAGTTTCCACCATTGTGCAAACAAATATCTGAACAATTCTCACAGCCTAGCGAACAATGATTCTTCATAAGTCATTGAAAGTCGGAATACCTGAGATCTAAGATTTGTGTGACAGGGGTAGTGATCAAAAATGTCTCAAGTACTCAGAAATTCAGACAAACGTTTACCGATGTAGACAACAAGAACTAAAAAGAGACAACATAAGTTATTCGAAAACCGTCAATGTCTCAAGTAATCAGCTTTGTTTATCTCAGTCTTTCATCTAGTTCTCTATTCTTTTCGTAATCTAGACCACTTTGTCTTTTGTGGAACTTATCACAGAGCATCGATTACTCTTGCTTACTACATTCATCTTTATTTGGATAAGTTTCAAACTCTCACAGTTATTATTGGTCTATTTGAAATACACTGTTGGAAAATGGTGCTTTTCTAAACGGAAAACACTTCGTAAAGCTGGTGAATGGGCAGTTGTTACTGGTGCATCATCAGGTATTGGTGAAGCATATGCAGAAGAATTGGCCAAAGAGGGTCTCAATATCATGCTTATCAGTAATGATGAAGAACAACTGTCCTGCGTTGCCAATCGAATCGCAACTACATACAATGTTCAGACACGAATTGTGGTTGCAGATTTTACTAAAGTAATATTCATTCTCAATTAATCTGTTAATCATGTTATCTTGAAATCATTATCATTGAATCAAGTAATCAGTTTGACTTGTCACTTGGTAGTGTTTACATAGATGGATAGGAGGTGTGCATGAGTAGAGATTTTGTTCATGAACTGATGAACAGTTAGCAGAGTTAATAGTGACGCTTGAGTCATGTGGTCATGCTAAAACCAGCATCCATGATAATATGTGTTTGAATGCAGAAATAGGACTGAAGACATTCTTTTCACGAAAAGTATTCACGTGAATCAAATATATTACTGTCATATAATAAACACCTCATTGATATTCCACAGTAGTTAAGTAGATCTCATGACTACCACAAATTGGAGGCGAGTAAATGTTTATCTGTGTGTGTATGTATGGTTCCACACTATCACATAATGTATGCAGTACTGTATTCATAATTACCTCACGAGTGATTGTGGGTGCTTTATTTGCAACACCAATGTTTTTGTGTTTTCTCTGGTCAATGAGGCGGAATTCACATTGCATATGTGAGCACAGAGTATGTTGTATGATTTGTGTGGCTGCTTTGTTGAAACATATATCAGTTTGTTGTTGACGGTCGATTAGTTCGATATGACATTGAGATTCCAGTGATAATATCGATGAGATGCATGTGAATATTCAGTCAAATAGTTTGGTGTTGACCTGTCTCTATATGGTATTGATTGAAACCACCTTTAATTTGTGTGATGTATGAGACTAATGACAGATTCACTCTACACTATTGTAAATGGCAGTTTAGAGTGTGAGTGAGTGAGTGGATCGCTGTTGTCTGTTAGTGATCTCTGACCACGACCAATGTATTTTAAGATTTGTAAGTGAATGAAATATCTATTGATATAACTTGTCCTAAGTTGGAGATATTCTTTCTGTATGCATATGTGTCAGCAGACACTGGTTGACTGTCATTCAAATATTGTTTCGGAAATAACTGTATACACATTAATTGCAAATATCATTACACACATTGTGACATTCATTCGCAAACACTGATGTGGACAGTTGACAATTCACTGTCAATCTCATTACCAAATTTCTCACAACGTTCCCTCATTTCAATACCAAAATATCCACACACAATGCACCGAAATTGACAGAAATTGATTAGATTTCAGTCGTGAATATTGATAACGGAAATACACAGGCACTTATCATAAAAATAAAGCATACTAGTTAGAAAAATAACAGAATGTTCCGTTCCATCAATTCAGTGTAAATCACATTAGCTATATAGAAATGATGTAGAGAACTTATTTCAGATTCATCCACAATTGACGATTCAAACACATCGACATATATTGACATTGTTGAAACATTTCAGATATTCCATGGTTAAAACACTAACAATTTTTTTTCTTCTCTTTTGTTTAGAATGATGTTTATGAAATAATCAAACCTGCTATTGAACAATTATCTACAATCGCTTGTTTAGTGAATAATGTTGGTATGGGATTACCCATTGAGTTGTTTGCTGGAGAAGTGAATTCACCAAATGAAGAATCAATTCAAAACATCATTCATTGTAATTTTTTGTCTACAGTAACAATGACAAGTATCATTCTGCCGAAAATGTTAACACAGAAAGAACCTTATCCTGGGATTATCAATGTTGGATCTTATACAGGTTTCAAAGTATTTCCTTATGTTTCATTGTACGCTTCAACCAAAGCAGCTATTATTCATTTTTCTAGATGTTTAGCTGCAGAAATGTATCAAAAGAATTTCATTATACAAATTATGAATCCATTATTTGTATCAACAAATTTAACCCATCAAATGAAACCTACATTTTTTATACCAACTGCTAAAATCTATGCTAAAAGTTCATTAGATATGTATGGTGTTACACAACAAATTACTGGTTATTTCCCGCATGAATTAAAAGCATTTGTTTATAATTTATTTCCAATATCATTATGGTTAAAACTAATCGAACATACATTCTGTCCATATCGTGAACAATCTAAAAAAGCCGACTAATATGAATGTTGTTTTGTTTTGTTTTTCGAAATTTACCTGAAACACAATAAAACTTATCATATAAAACAATGGTCTTGTAGTTGTAAATAATTCCCCAAAATCAATAGCTCATTAAGTGTTCGATATTGGATGCTGACCATGTTGTTTAAGTAGACTTGTTTAACTGAAGGCTTTCGATCATGCATCCGCACCAGATCACGTTGTAACACGGCGTGAGACACAGATCCTACGTTACAATAGACAGTTAAGAATGAAGTCTCTCGATATATTGGTAACGAATCAAATATATATTCCCTGTCTCTCCTCGTTTGACTTCTGGTTTCTATTCGACTGGGAACGAACGATTATAGAAGATACTACTGGTTGCTAGTTGCAAAACTAGAAGATCCGTTGTATCCTCAATTTTATGAACATTCACTTATACAAATTTCTTTCCAATGAATTTAATGTAACTTTATCTGAGAAATTATTTTTAAACAAATAGAATCTAAATTTTAATGAACTAGTTCCCTTATTATCAATTGTTAGTCACTCTTTATTCTACAATTAGCCTGGCTACTATTTCTTCTCAAAATTTCATACCGAATCATCTAACAATGAATGCTTCGGTAACTACCATTTCAACGTCTCAACTCACACACACGGTCTTACTCATTAGATAGTGTATCACAAAAATACAGTCTCAAGGACTAACTCCCAGAGACAACCTAGAACTAATGTAAATAGAGCGTTTTTCTCTCATATATCATCGTGCATTGAACAAGAAACTATTTTTCGTCTACTTAATCTGATCTCTTCGATAAGTTGTTATTCAGGCAAATAGTTATTGGGAATGGTAATAGATGGATAGTAGTGATATTAATTTATTAGGTTAACTGTTCGATTTACTATTGCCCTGATAATTTGACCAGAGAGCAACTGTTTCCTCACAAAATCACACCGACGTGGTGAGTTCGGGGGCCATGAAAACACGAAATCCAATTCTAGAAATGCCATGTAATCTCTTGAGATAGGGCTTTACCAACCTGACACCACTGAAATACCGTACACACGCACATGCGATATATTTTCGGAGAGAGTGATGCACCAATTTCATGATTACTTACAGGCATCTGCATTACATAAGAACTAGTTATAGAGAATCAGGAAGCTTGCGAATTAGAGCGTGAAATAAGTTCATCCATTAAATTGCGGTTGTAGCTTCAAACCAATTAAGTTTGGAATGATGAATGATTGTCAAATTTAGTTAAGATACGTACTACTGACCAGTTCAAACCAAAACAAAGTAATTGGGTAAATGGAGGTTCTAGATTTCATTATAAATATAAATTTACATACAAACTCGGTCGCAAGAATGGTTAGATCTTATTAGGAGGGTTAAAATCTATTCAGGAAAATAGCCCCTCGCATACTTCCTATCAATTCGCTTTTTCGCACGACCTTTGCCCTCTGATTGGTTGTCATATTTTTTTTAGTTCGCTAAATTGCTACATGCTCGAAGGTCATGTTTTGCTACTATAGTAACAACTTTTGTACAAATTTCGTTTGAGTAACTTGTTCTAACACAAATATCAATTTACCTACAATCCAGTCTTCTTCTTGTCTTGGCCGTCGAGATTTGACGTGTTGGTTAAAATTGGCTGTTGTCAGTTCCGAGGAGAACCAATCTTACTACATAAGCTCAATGGTTTTCGTTGCTAAATTCATAATATCGTAGTCCATACTATTGTGACATGTATATTCAGTGACTTTTTTGTAACAACAAAATAAAGAGCACATATATGTTTCCCATTTGTCACACTCTATATGTGACCACATTTATATCCAATATATATTGCTTCCCTGTATCAATGGTAAAGAAACATATATGTTTGTTTGGATATATCTAATATACAATACTCTACCGCGATTCTCGAAATATAAACGTTGTCTTTGCCGTCTATCCATCTGCTTTATTGACCACGGCTTTTGAATAAAGATCATAATAGTATTATAACATCCTTTTAGTCCTTCCCACACTACATTGGATCTTTGACCCGGATCATTACTAAATAATACTACCGGATTGAATCTTCTTCATTTTTCTGTTGGTGCTATCAGATGCAGAGGAACATTCGTTAATCAAGTGAACTTATTTGTGGTTGTTATCCCAGAGAGCAGCTTACAAGCAACATTCATTTCATAACACCGTTACCATTTTGTTGCCAAATATAACTTTTTATAATTCAGTTTCAGTTTCAGTTTGGAAAGGACAGGAGGCTTGGTGGCCTGTGTTAGTCCTGGCAATGATGGTCTCTCAGCTGATTCAACTTTCTTTTGAAGGAGTCGACGGATGGAGCCTCAACCACGTGATGAGGTAGTGAATTCCACTCGTTGATTATTCGATGGGAAAGTCGGTAGTCAGCTGACAAGTAATTCGTTCGGGGCTTGTGAACTCTCTTGGAGTGTCCTCGTAGATTTTCTGTTTTGAAAGACAAGAAAAATGAGGGCATATCAGGTGCAAATTTGTCATTAAGCAATTTGAAAACTGTAATCAAATCGCCTCTGATTCTTCTATATGACAGCGGGAATAGGTTTAGCTTGGTCAGTCTAGTACCATACGGGAGCTTCGCTATTCCGGGAATCAGCCTAGTTGCTGTTCTCTGAACCCTTTCCAAGAGTTCACTGTCTTTTTTTAGGCAGGGGCTAGCTGCTTGTATGCAGTACTCAAGTTTAGGATGCACGAACACTGTATACAAAGTCAGAAACGTTTTAGCGTCAACATGCTTAAAAGCCCTGCGTATGGACCATAAAGTCCTAAAACCTTTGGCGGCTATTGCACGGCAGTGTGCAGTAGTCTTTAAGTCTTGACTAACGATGACGCCTAAGTCATTGTGTGCCTGAACAATAGGTAACTCAGTGTTATTCATCGTGTATGTATCTGTACCCTGGTGGCCAATATGCATCACAATACACTTGGAAGTGTTTATCGGCAATTGCCAGGTTTGGGACCATTCAGATAACCTCTCCAGGTCATTTTGAAGTTCTAAGCTATCGCCCTTGCTTTGTATCGCTCTCCATATCTTGACATCATCAGCATAGAGTAAGATCGATGACGATAGTAGACGAGGGAGGTCATTTACGTACAGGAGGAATAACACTGGCCCCAAAACTATACCCTGGGGGACTCCACTAAGCACAGTTTCCCAGCTAGACAACTTGGAGTTCACCCTTACTCTTTGTTGACGCCGAACTAGGAAGTCTTTTGTCCACATCAACTGTAATTTGTTATCTGCTGTGCCACTCAAAGACATACGCTTGGGTTTTTAGTGTTAATTCTCTTCGTTTATTATTGGTAACTTTGAGTATTGTTATATTTTGACTGAGCTCTTTTGCTGGGATCCACCACAGTACTGCAGTCCATGAACACAATAAGAAGACACAACAGCACAGTATTATCTAAAAAATATTACCGTCAGTTATACAATCAATGAATATCCAATAATTTGTCAAATATATATTGCATTAAATGAGCAATTTTCAGTTTCAGTTTCGAAAGAACAAGAGTCTAGATGGCCTATGTTAGAAAAAAACAGAAAACGAATATTCAAATGGAATCCATTCAAAATATGTGATGGTATAGACTTCACGTTGTCTAATTCTTATTGAGTATTGTTATATTGAAACATGTCACAAATTTACGGAACTTCATCTGTCGACTGTTTCATCAGAAATTTGGATCAGTTGAGAGACCATGATTGTGAGGATTAACACAGGCCGTCGAGCCTCCTGTTCTTTCCAAACTGAAGCTGAAACTGATCCGATTCAATGGTTGTTGTTCAATTCTTAAAAAATAATTCATTTTGTAAGATGAATTGGAATACACTCATGATACACACACGCACACACAATCACACACAAACATACTCATACGGTGGCAACTCTGGAACTCATCTTCATCCAACTGACAAATTCTAAATAGAACTATGTATCACTGATCCTACATTCCACTGGTAGCCATCATCCATCATTGCTCATATAGTGATAATCATTAAAAAAATATTGATTTTCATGTGAAATTAAATTTAACCAATCTAGTTGAATTGTGCAAATTGTGCAATAAAAATGATCGACCCTGGAACATATCAAACATTACACTTGTTAATTTATAATGTGTCAAGTGAAATTAGTGGAACATTAAATGATGAATGAAACATACATTCAAAAACGAAGTGTGATGAAATTGTTTTTTTATCGATCGATTATTGAAGTTACCAATCATGATTTTTCAATAAATTCATATTTCTTTTACTACTGAATATTTAAATGGTAACATGATTAACAAGATTATATACACATATTTATCATCTAGAAGAGAATGGTAAGTAAATCATTGTTGATTAGTTAAAAGCGTGAGTCAATTGAAGCTAGATCACCAGAGAAAACCTGGAAGCACTGGACGACCATTTCGTCATATTGTGGGATTCCTCAACAGTGTGTATCCATGATCTTGCCTTGTGAGCGAGATTCGAACCAAGGACCTACCAGTCTCTCGCTAGAGTACTTAACAGATAGACCACTGAGCCGGCCGGCATCCGATGGTGTTTATGTCTAACCTCAACAAATCCACGATGTTGAACAAACATTCACCCATTGTCTTCAGTGAGCTGTTATCTTACAACAAATCTGGTTGAACTCCACTGGTCAGTGCTTCCCACTAGAACTCCAGGACATATATCTTGAAGTCAGTCACGAGTGAGAATAAGATTATTATTATTATTATTATTATTATTATTATTATTATTATCAGAAGGGGGGTTTTTGTGGAGATTTATTATTGTTATAGTTTCAATTGACTCACGCTTTCAACTATGGAAATACTAAATCTTCACTAAAAACCCCCTTCTGATAACATTGTTGATTACGCAATTAATTATGAACTAATATGATATTTTGATAGTTGAAATCATTAGTCAAATGAAGCTAAACCACCATAGAAAACTTGAAAGCACTGGATGGCTTCAAGAGGTATTTCCTTAATTTCTAGTGGGTGTCAGTGACCAGTAGAGTTCAACCAGGTCTGTTGTGAGATAGTAAATCACTGAAGACATTGTTGTATGTGTCGATTAAGTTCGTGGATTGGTTGAAGTAACAGATTAACACCGTTGGATACCGGGAAGTTCAGTGGTCTAGAGGTTAAGCGCTTGCGCACAAGACTGATAGGTCATGGGTTCGAATCTCACGAGGCGGGATAGTGGATGCTCACTGCTGAGGAGTAGGACAATAGGATGAAACGGCCGTTCATTGCTTCCAAGTTTTTCACGGTGGTCTAGTTTTAATTGGCTCATGATCTGAACTATTGAAATTATTAAAATATCCACCGAAACCCCTTCTGATATTAATATTATAATGTTTATTCAAGTTTGATATTATTCATTTGAATTATTGATGTTAAGTGTATACATTGTATTAGTTGGTAAAGAGATTTAACGAAAGAATGTACTATTCCTATTCTAGAATACATTTGAAAATAGTTATATTATTTTAAAAAGATTTAGTCATATCATTCTGAGTACATTCTATTTTTGATTATGATGTACAAATGTAATAAAATATATCTGTTGGAGTGATTCAGTGAATTCTTCGCAAAAAAGCCAAATTGAGAAAACCTCTTATATGATTAGCATTCAATAGAAGTTTTGCAAGAAACATCGTCGTGGATGAGTACTGTAGTGGAGCCTCACACTAATTCAAAACAGTCTTCCAGTGATTCCAGGATTTCAATACCTGCTTAGCCCAAATCGATTGGTAACCTCAATAAATTTGACAGCATTTGAAAAACAATGTGGGAGAATTTAGTTGAACTAAATTAATATCCGTATTTCTCTAGAAGTGAGAGTAACTTACTCATAAGATAATAATCCATTCTTTCCACTGTCATCAAACTATAAACTGATATCCTGTGATATGACAAGTATTAAGGTATAGTGAAAAGTGATTCAAACTAGGGAAATTCTACTACGTCCCTGAAAACCTATAGTGACGAAAGTAGAGATTTTAATAGTTTCCACCTTATGACCTGATTTTACATAATGTTAGGGAGTCGTACATCATCAACATTAGCACCGGTTTATTTTAACATAGTTTCCACCATTGTGCAAACAAACATCTGAACAATTGTCACAGCCTAGTAAACAATGCTTGTTCATAAGTCATTAAAAGTCGGAATACCTGAGATCTAAGATTTGTGTGACAGGGGTAGTGATCAAAAATGTCTCAAGTACTCAGAAATTCAGACAAACGTTTACCGATGTAGACAACAAGAACTAAAAAGAGACAACATAAGTTATTCGAAAACCGTCAAACTTAATAACTGTACTAAACTTACTCTATTGAGCTAATGTTTGCTAGAACCGTCAATAGAAAAGTGTCACAGAAGCCTAATCGATCCGATCACCAGTTGACAGTGAATACTGAATACGAGTTGTAACCGTTATCCACAGTCGAATTCAATTGATATTTGTGTACAGATTATGTCGTCATAATTTATTTGAACGCCTTGTTTATCTCAGTCTTTCATCTCCTTCTCTATTCTTTTCGTAATGTAGACCACTTTGTCTTTTGTCGAACTTATCACAGAGCATCGATTACTCTTGCTTACTACATTCATCTTTACTTGGATAAGTTTCAAACTTTTACAGTTATTGTTGATCTATTTGAAATACACTGTTGGAAAATGGTGCTTTTCTAAACGGAAAACACTTCGTAAAGCTGGTGAATGGGCAGTTGTTACTGGTGCATCATCAGGTATTGGTGAAGCATATGCAGAAGAATTGGCCAAAGAGAGTCTCAATATCATGCTTATCAGTAATGATGAAGAACAACTGTCCTGCGTTGCCAATCGAATCGCAACTACATACAATGTTCAGACACGAATTGTGGTTGCAGATTTTACCAAAGTAATATTCATTCTCAATTAATCTGTTAATCATGTTATCTTGAAATCATTATCATTGAAACAAGCAATCAGTTTGATTTATCATTCGGTAATGTCTGCATAGATGAACAGGAGGTGTGGATGACTAGACATTTTGTTCATGAAGTGATGGACAGTTAGTAGAGTTAATAGTGACGCTTGAGTCATGTGGTCATGCTAAAACCAGCATCCATGATAATATGTGTTTGAATGCAGAAATAGGACTGAAGACATTCTTTTCACGAAAAGTATTCACGTGAATCAAATATATTACTGTCATATCATAAACACCTCATTGATATTCCACAGTAGTTAAGTAGATCTCATGACTACCACAAATTGGAGGCGAGTAAATGTTTATCTGTGTGTGCATGTGTGGTTCCACACTACCACACAATGTATGCAGTACTGTATTCATAATTACCTCACGAGTGATTGTGGGGTGCTTTATTTGCAACACCAATGTCTTTGTGTTTTCTCTGGTCGATAAGGTGGAACGGTGGTTTGTCATCAAGGTTCCCGTTCGTTTTCGAGTAGTGTGACAGAAAGGGAAGGGTGATTGCAGTTGACATAGTGTGAGAGGAAGATAGACAGGCAGTTAACGTGTCTGCAATGATGATAATACACGACAAATATGTGAATGAGTATTTTGCAGTATAAGATAATTTTAGTCATACTCATCGATCACGTCAGTTGCCAGTATCTCACTCCATCCTGTTACCTGATCAACTATTTCATTTACACAATCAATTGCATCAAGCTACACTGAATAATGCCAACATTCCAGCGTGACGAATCCACACGGACTGTATGAGCAAAGAGTATGTTGTGTGGTTTGTGTGGCTGATTTGTTGAAATATATATCAGTTTGTTGTTGAGCGTCGATTAGTTCGAAACAACATCCACATTTCAGTGATAATATCGATGAGATGCATGTGAATATTTAGTCAAATAGTTCGATGTTGACGTGTCTCTATATGGAATTGTTTGAAACCATCTTAAATTTGTGTGATGTATGAGACTAATGACAGATTCACACTACACTAGTGTAAATGATAGTTGAGAGTGTGAGTGAGTGAGTGGATTGTTGTTGTCTGTAGTTGATCACTCACGATGACCAATGTATTTCGAGATTTGTAATTGGATGAAATATCTATTTATATGACTTGTGTCCAGTTGGAGTTATTCATTCTGTGTGTATATGTGTCAGGGGAGACTGGTTGACTATCATTCAAATGTTGTTTCAGAAATAACTGTATACACAGTAATTGCAAATATCATTACACACATTGTGACATTCATTGGAAAACATAGAGATAGACAGTTGACATTTCACTGTCAATCCCATCACTAAATTTGTCACAACGTCCCCTCATTCTAATATCAAGGCACCCACACACGATGCACCTAAATTAACAGAAACTCATTGGATTTCGGTTGGGAATATTGAAAACGGAAATACATAGACACATATCATGAAAATAAAGCATACTAGTTGGACATACGACAGAATGTTCGGTTCCACACACTCAGTGAATATCACGTTAGGTATTTAGAAATAATGTAAAGAACTAATCTCAGATTCGTCCACAATTCACGATCCAAACACATTAACATATATTGACACAATCAGAAGGAGTTTTGTGGAGATTCTAGTAGTTTCATAGAGTTGAGATCATGAGTCAGCTGAAGCTAGACCACCATGGAGAACCTAGAAGCCCTGGACGCCTGTTTCGTCCTATTATGAGACTGCTCAGCAATGCGCATCCACGATCTCGCCTCGCGAGCCAGATTCGAACCAAAGACCTACCAGTCTCGCTCAAAAGCACTTAACCGATAAAGCACTTAGCCGGCCTGAATCCAACAGCGGTAATGTCTAACTTCAACCAATCCACAAAATTGAGCAATCATTCACCAATGTCATCAGTGAGTTGATATCTTCCAACAAACCTGATTGAACACCACTAGTTACTGCTTCTCACTAGAGCTCCAGGAAATACCTCATGGAACCAGTCACTAGTCAGCACATGATCACTATCTTAACTCTATAAAATATATTGACATTGTTGAAACATTTCAAATATTCCATCATTGAAACACATGAGAAATATTCGAATAATCAACTTCTAACAATTTCGTTTTCTCTTCTGTTTAGAATGATGTCTATGAAATAATCAAACCTGCTATTGAACAATTATCTACAATTGCTTGTTTAGTTAATAATGTCGGCATGGGATTACCTTTTGAGTTGTTTGCTGGAGAAGTTAATTCACCAAATGAACAATCTATTAGAAATATCATTCATTGTAATATTTTATCTACAATAACAATGACAAGTATAATTCTATCAAAAATGTTAACACAAAAAGAACCTAATCCTGGTATCATTAATATTGCATCATATTCAGCTTTAAGAGTAACACCTTATTTAACTGTATATTCATCAACTAAATCAGCTATTATACAATTTTCAAAATGTTTAACTGCAGAAAAGTATCAAAAGCATCTTATCATACAAACACTTTGTCCATTAACCATCTATACATCAATGACAAAGAATGAGAAACCTACATTTTTTATACCAACAGCTAAAGTGTATGCTAAATGTGGGTTGACATTAGAATCACTGCACGTATAATCCCCTACCCCCCTTTTTTTGGAAATTAAAGGGTATGAAAAAAATTTAGCAATTGGTGATTGGTGAATTTGTTTTTGAAAGTGTGTGCTCAAGTGCAAATGAACAAACATTTTGTCACCTGTAATAATTTTTTAATTGGCTGTAAATGGTGCAGTTTTGCAATTTGATTCGTTCAAATCGAACTAGAATAAAGTGCTTTCATTGGATGTAAGAATTGACATTTTTCCATTCGATTATTATTTACAATAATTAACTATTTTCGCATTGTTCCGTCTGAGATTTGTAAAAAATTTTAACTTCGAAAAAAACAAAAACAAATCCATTTCATTACCCTGCTATACTCCTGTTAGTGAATGTAATTTCTTTTTATGAAGTACAAATGCAACTAAAGTTATCTGTTATCGTCGTGGCAAGAGTAGTAATAATAATCTGTGGATCATTGAAAGTGAATTTTTGAAAAAAACTGACAGCTGTTACATAATAGTTGATATAATGGTGATTATTGAATTTGCAAAGGGTAGTCTCAAATGTTTAATACACAATTAGTGAACACATTTTGGTTTAAGTATTCCCATAAGTTAATTTAACACATAGTTCGCTCATTTAATAAACGTTATATTCCTGTAAGTATATGAATAAATCATGATAAAGAGAAAGTGAATGGGTCATGCCGAAGTCACGCTAACCGTAAAAGATGGGTAAATGAAGCAACTTTTACGCTGTCTGAAATTAGTAATAATGTCTGAGAAAAAAAGCAAATAATCTTTATAATTCAGTTATTTTGCAAACCGTTATTCTTAATACCAAAAAGTTGATTAGTTTAGCTATGAAAAGGTTTTGAAAATGAACGCAATATCAAGGTTATCAAGATTTTTTGTAAATCCATTCAAAGCATAAAATATGCTGACCTGTAGATTATTTGTAGTTGATCACTTATTAATGATCACCGAAAATACATGTCAGTGTACTCAGTCATGTAATACGGTAATTGTATTTGTGAGGTGGGCATAACATTTTTTGGCAGGTAATGTTAACAGCCAATGTTTTTTAAGTGCACAGCTTTTCAAATGAATGATCTGAATTTTTTATATTCATTAGTAAATGACATTGTAAACGTTAATTAATTAGAAAGACTTAAATTGTATTTCCAAATCCAACAGTTCCCTTTGTTAAACATACCGGACGAACAATGAAAAACTGTATGTACATTTACCGTCACAAAGGGATAATAATTACTCCTCTTATACTGTCAAACAGTAAATCGGTGAATGGTGAAAAAACTAACCTTCTTTGACAAGCATATGTGTAATATAGGTTGAATGAAGTGTCAATGAACAAGCCTATGTCTAGCGAAATAAATTTCTATTTCAATGATATGACTTAATGTGGAATAAGGTCAAGTAAGGTATCAAGTAACCATTATGTATTTAGAATATCGTATTTCAATCTGTTAAGTTAAACTGTACATTTATTTATCAAATGTCTAAATGACATTGATCACTGTATCGAATTTTTGCAATGCAGTGATAAATCTCATATGAAACATTATTATTACATTTCGTATGTTCCATTATTATTACTATTATTATTAATGACTTGTTAGACATGTAAGTCTTCATTATATGACGTCCTTTTCTGTACGGATTAGTTTACTGAAACCGTAAATTTGAAAAACCTTAAAAGCTGTTGACAAAATTATAAAGTGATCGATAATCACTTTATTATTATTAATCTAGAAAAAGTTATTTTACATCTTCATTACTATGGAATTGTGATGAATGATCAGTGTATGTTCACTTGACCTTCTTAATACAAATTATCTTGTTGTACTAATGAACTGATCTCAGTACAATCGTCTACCTTAGCTAAGTGAAAAGAGATTGGAATAATCGTACACACCTTTGCATAAACTTTTGTTCGACAGATTAATGTTCATTATATGACGTTGTTTTCTGAACGGAATCGTTCACTGAAGCCGTAAATTTCAAAAATCTGGAAAGCTGTTGACAAAATTATAAAGTGAGCGATGATAATTATTAATCTACAGCTTAATTACTATGGAATTGTGATGACCGATCAGTGTCTGTTCACTTGACCTTAGCAATAGAAAAGATCTTGTTGTACTAGTGAACTGATCTTACTACATTTCTCTACTGTACCTAGTAACCAAATCATATGAATGTGAAATGAATTATTGATGGTTTCATGACTCCTCCTTAAAATGGAAACAAGAAATTCAAACAAAATTTAAATCAAATTGTGGGTGGCCCTGAAAAGGGCCTTTACTCGGTCTCTACACAGCTCCTTCGGTCCTGATCGACGACTCCACTATGAGTCCGTGACAGCGCCGCACATGGGACAGTTGAACCCAGGTGATACTTCTGTTGGGTCGTAGGCACAGAACGAATGAAACATTGCGTTGCATGGACAAAAAATCCAAGCACTTCCATCACCTAGTTCACTGGGCGGCTGACATAGATGGCAAATATCACACAGTCGGTCATTGTGCGCACGTTCGTCTTCTTCATTGTCTCGGTCCGTGAACTCTTCTGAGTTCATAGATATTACTTCCATCTCGTCATCATTTAAGGTAGCATCCAAATCTACGTTCTGTTGACGGTTGGTGCCTGTGGTATTTCGGACGACGGGCATTGTGATGGTAGTAGGTATTCCATCGTTAAGCAACTGATGAGAATAGTTAAGGACAGCGGTACGCTGTTCAGCAGACATACGCCGACACAAGTAGTGAATCGATGTTTGGACGTTTGTCTGCCCGACTTGTACCGGTAACTCATTGGCAATCGTTACTGTGGTTACGAAGCTGTTGGAATGCAGCCATCGGTCACCAATGCTTTCTCTGTGAACTTCGACATTATCGTGCGAACAATATGCCAAGATGTGACGACATACGACTCTGTGTTCTACATAAAAGAAACAGGAACAACTAATAGGATTTTTGGAGACTGTGTAAGTTCCTGTAGTATCAACGGCCGTGAAAAACTCCCCCGACAATACGTAGTCAGTAACAGGAACACGCATGTGCCGCTTAAGCAGTTTACATGCAGCAGGTGTAAGTGTTTCCTGAAGACGACGTACTTGAGGCTCGCGACCCAGCACAGCCCTGCTACGGCATTCAGTGGAGTACTTTTGAACTCTAGCTTCTATCCAATATCCAGTGCGAAGCAGAACACTAAATATCGATCTGAACACGGGTGTTTTTCTGTTCAGCTTATGCAACTTCAAAATTCGATGGGTCGTCTCAACGAAATTTGTATTGCTTTGATCTAGAAGCATTGCAGCTGGTCTAAAAGCGTTCGACCACTTGTGCTTTTTGGACAATAACTGATCTCTCAAATATTGGTAGAAATTCCCGTCTGCTGTTTCGATAAATGACACATACCGTTGGAAGCTACAATACATTGTAAAGCATATTTCGATTTACCTTTCCACATTTCTTGTTAGCATAAGACGGTAGAACATTTGAAGAAGATCAGATCGTAGCCTCTACGAATACGATGAATGGGTTATTTGTAAAGAAAGGAAAGCTTACCCTCTTGATGACATTTCGAAGAAGGTGCACGCGGCACAAAAGGTGGTGTGAATTGGGATACACCTGCGTTATGGCAGCAGCTATAGCAGGTGAATCGTCGGTAACAATACCGATAACCTCTCTATTGTTACTCATTTGGCGGAAGAACGAGAGGAAACTGGACAGCAAAGTCGATGTTTCGCGACTTACAAATGCAATACAAACAGGTATTGCCATGAAATTCATGTCCAAAGCCACCACGTGATAAAGAAACATGTTTTCATTATTGGTTTTGTATGTCCCATCAAAACCAACAACATCTAAAAACCTGTTACACAGATTGATCTGGTCTGCTGTAGCGAAGAAGAAGTACAGCAGACTATGATCTGCATCCAATTGATAATCACAAAGGCCACCAAGTGACGTGATGTGATTTTTCAACTTACCGTAATCACCTACAGTTAATAGTATAAATATGCACATTGCTTACCAGGAAGGTTGGCCTGTGAGAACACTTTGTAACGCATATTGAAAACATCTTGAGCTGTAAGACGTTTCCCATATGATTGGTAAGCGTAGTGTATCACATTGAATGCTGATGTTCCAGATATCAGCAGTGGCTTCACTGATTCAAATTCCGCTCCCGTTAATCGGCGCATCCATGTGTTACAGTCGTACCTCAGGGAATTGCACTCGTGATTGTGATGCACATTCCCACGAACAACAGTCCAATAACCTTCAAGAAACTTACAAAAGATGAAGGCCGGACATTGTGTGTCCATTGAAGTCCTCAATGAACAATATAATAACACTAATCAATTTACCTCCTTCGTCTAATCGGCTGCGAAGAAACGCTTGGTGTTTTATAGCTCTTTCTCCAACATACAAATTTAATATACGGCTTCCGATCTCCATGGAAATTAGAATCTCTCACCGCATAATGGCAGTACGTTGCTATTTCATAAGTTCTAATGGCGCTCTTTAACGCTTCCAGTGATGGAAACGCTACCAGATACAATGTATTCAAAAATACATTTTCAGTTTCTGTGACTACGTGAGGAACAACAGAGCCTCTAATTTGCACGTTACTGACGTCCATATTGTGAATAAAATTATCTATATCCATAAGTACAGAGCTTTTATGCGAATTTCAAGAATTACATAACCAATTACAACGCATTTACAACTAGGAATTTCATTGGACGAAAGGGATTGAAAAAAATTGGAAAATGGGATGAAAATTTTTTGATTAAGGGGGACAAAAAAAATTATTAAAAAAAAATTGAAGTGATCCTAATGTTATTCCTAAATGTGCATTAGATATGTATGGTGTTGAACAACAATCAACAGGGTATATACAACATGAATTAAAAGCTTATTTATTTAATTTATTACCAACATTTCTATGGATATTATTAACTTATAATAGAGTGAAATCACGTAAAAAGAATCTATAATGAATTAGATAGATGGATAGATCTATCATATTCAACATACATTCAAAATGTGATTTCTTATAGTCAATATGAAAAACACACACAAAAAAAGGAACGTTTCTTTTTTTTTAAACCATTTTTTAAAAAAAAAAATAAAAAAACTGCTTAGTTACTATTTGTATTGATTATATTATCACTAGTTACTTACTTACTTACTTACTTACTTACTTACTTACTTACTTACTTACTTACGCCTGTTACCCCTCGTCGAGGAGCATAGGATGCTCACCAGTTTTCTGGTTAGTGTTTTTTTAGCGAGTTAGCTTTTCTACGGGATGGGGTCGCTAACCCTATGCCCAATCCTCCTCATTTACCCGGGCTTGGGCGTCAGTAACTCTAGAAGAGCTACAGGCGAAGTTATATATATTATCACTAGGTATATAATATATATGTACCATGGAAAAACTTAGTACGACAAAGGATAGAGGGAGAGAGAGAGAGAGAGAGAGTCAGTTGTACTTTTTGAAATGTTCTCACATGACTATTCATATAAAGAAACTGATAGGAAAGTTTAACTCAATGTTTTTTCTTGTCATGAGAGTGTTGTTTTATGAAATGAAGGGGGTGGGGGTGAAATTAAATATTAGGCATTTAAAGTGAGTTGGTGGATAAGGAAGATTCATCTAATGGTTTGAAAAACTTTGATTACAAATCACTGGTATTTATGGATTCCAGGATTTTGATGTAATGAATGTTGTATCAATCTATTGTTGATTACTGACTACCATGAGACTGTAACTCCTTATGTTACTCCAATGCATTGTAGATTAGACTATTAGGTGAAAGGTTCATGGAGTGGCCTCCTAAGAAAATCATCTTTCTTGATTCGGGCAGCGGGGCAGCATTCCAGTCCTCACGGAAATCAAATGGAAAAGTGTGGCGCACATGTATTTATTATAGTTGAAAGCGTGAGTCAATTGTTGCCTCCTTGTACCAATGTTTATGTGTTTTAACTAAATATAAAAGTATATATATATCAGTCTAGTGTTGTGAAGATTGTTGATTTCGTGTTGTAACCATTATCTGGTCATTGTTAAACAATCCTGAAAAGCGTTTAGCATTGGATTACCATTTAGTCCTAATATGTCATGGATTGGATATTAGCACCGTTGGACTCTGGTTTATCTGTCTAGAGGTTAAGTGTTCGCGTGCGAGACCAAATGTCCTTGATATAACTTTCATGTGCGCAATCATGGATGCTCATTCTTGTTGATCCCATATTATAACTAAACAAACATCCATTGATTCTAGGTTTTTAATAGTTGTCTAACATTGATCCGTTAGTGATCTCAATAAAAATCTATAGTTAGACATTAACACCGTTGGATGCCGGTAAGCTTGGTGGTCTAGAGGTTGAGCGCTCTAGCGCAAAACTGTTAGGTTCTGGGTTTGAATCTCGTGAGGCGGGATCGTTGATGCGCATTACTGAGGAGTCGAACAACAGGACTACTACTACTACGACTACTACTACTACTACTACTACTACTACTACTACTACTACTACTACTACTACTACTACTACTACTACTACTACTACTACTACTACTACTACTACTACTACTACTACTACTACTACTACTACTACTACTACTACTACTACTACTACTACTACTACTACTACTACTACTACTACTACTACTACTACTACTACTACTACTACTACTACTACTACTACTACTACTACTACTACTACTACTACTACTACTACTACTACTACTACTACTACTACTACTACTACTACTACTACTACTACTACTACTACTACTACTACTACTACTACTACTACTACTACTACTACTACTACTACTACTACTACTACTACTACTACTACTACTACTACTACTACTACTACTACTACTACTACTACTACTACTACTACTACTACTACTACTACTACTACTACTACTACTACTACTACTACTACTACTACTACTACTACTACTACTACTACTACTACTACTACTACTACTACTACTACTACTACTACTACTACTACTACTACTACTACTACTACTACTACTACTACTACTACTACTACTACTACTACTACTACTACTACTACTACTACTACTACTACTACTACTACTACTACTACTACTACTCAAAATAATTCAAACACTGATTTTGTAGCACACGGATTTGCTTTTAATTTGATCGAAAAATGATGGTCACGGAATATACACGCCGACCAATCCCGTATATTATTATCCACATCGTCATCGTCAGAGATTTACGGAGTAAAATATGTCGAATGTTAAAATGAATTTCGGATGCATATAATTCATACTCTTGTGTGTCCAGACAGTTAGTCGAAATGAAATATGGGAAAGAGAAGTGAAATAATAGACTGGAGGAAACAAGTGTGTTAACTCCACTTTACGTATCGTGTTTAATGTCCCTGAAATATATGACTTCGGTTTTATCATGCGACTATCGTTATCACCTTACACATGTCTCCGATCCTCAAGTATAATTATCAACTTGAGTCGTGTCAGTGAATAATGGAATTAAATAAGTCAAATACGACAATGAAGTTTAAATGCGTATATTTCATTCAATTATTGATCTGAACTGACAATCAGGGAGACAAAGTAAAGAAACACAAGCGGTGAGAGAGAAGCGAGACTGAATGACTCAAAGTTGAGTAGGCAAATGAACCAACTCCATATAACCAAGGATGAATGAATATTTATAGTTAGATAATAATAAGTTACAGATATGTGATGAGTAAGGTAGGCGATGTACATGCCCATATTAAATCAGTCAAGGTTAATAAGCGAATAACGGACAAGGTTAAAATGTGTCCCAAGAAGAATGAATAAATTTGTCTGTCCGAAAGCTAGAACAATCCATGTGATCTTGACAAAGAACTAGACACTACATTATCAAACTTTTGTTCCCGTAATTTACAGTTCGCAGGAGTACAGAAACAAAAAAGTATATAGAATGAATAATCTGTTATTATCTCAAGACTGACATCGATGTTGTTGAAATTCTGAATTATCTGAAGAATCTTTATAGGCAAAGATGGATAATGGCTAGCAGTGGAATACAGGACACGCAACACTTCATCCTATTTAACACTCGTCAGCTGGATAAACCTACATCTCAAAGTTGATGTTCACTCCGCGATCCGAACTCAATACCGTTCACTTGAAACACCATCACGTTATCCACTCAGCTAATGAGTCCTGATAGTCACCTGGTTGTGTAATGGGGTGAAGTTTAAATTCACTTTGTATTATTTGTTTGTATCTTCACACTGTTGTTTAGGACTGAAATTGATGAGTCTGTTTTAAGTAAGAAGCTTCTTAAGTAAGGATGGATAGTGAACATCAATTGTGGAATGCAGGTATATCCAGCTGACGAGGTTTAAATAGGACGAATTGTCGCGTGTATTGTATTCCACAGCTAACCATTATCCATCTTTAATGTTGAAGTGATCTAGAAAATGTTTCTCAATGGACAAGAAAGGCTCAGTAAACATTAGGAAACATTCTATCCAATCAGCGTTGACTAGAAGTTTTGCTAGAAACATCACGAAAGTAAAAAGTCACATGTAGAGCTTCTGATTGGCTGATTAATACATTGCTACTATGTTTAATAGCATCCTGAAATTTTCAGGAAAACCGAAGGACTTCTAAAATACTATAAAAGCCCTATATTTTCTGTACGCAAATGAACTTTAGGAGTAAAGTGCTTCTCGCATATTTTTGACCTTTTCTCTCATATTCAAGTCACTGTCTAGATTTAGCTTGGGGGTTACAAGATTAGATTAGGATTCGAGTATAGCGTTCAATTACCAAGACATCATTTGATTAAAACGCTTATGACTTAAGAAAATATCGAGGCAGTCAGGAAAGGGTGCAAATTTGTCATTCGGAAACTGATCAATTTCAGTCCTAAACAACAATATGAAGATACAAGTATACAACATCAAGTGAATTGATTATTGTCTCCCACGTTCATAGCCACATTTTAGCTTGATCCTGTACAAATATTATTTTCTATTTTATGGTGTGATGCGGTCTGTCTGTTTGTCTCGTATAGAAATCGAGTATGCATGCAATAAATGATTCGCATAGATTCGTATAGCAAAAGCTGTGATTGTTGTACTGAACTCAATTGGAAGGGCTAGGCGGATAAGCGACCAATAACGACGCTAGATTAATCATACCAGTTGAACGTCATTGATTTGGCATAGTGTTAAGATTAGACAAGTTGTATTTCGATTGGTGGATAATTCACATGATAAAAAGCCGGGACTTAAAATCATAACGAATCGGATACGGGCTTCTTTCTTTTATAAAGTCATAACAAATTGACGACCGGGATGAGATATAATAATCAATAAACTGAATATAATTTATGGACAGTAAATCGTACAGCAACTCCGCCTGTAGCTCTTCTAAAGTTACTGCTGGTCCCAAGCCCAGTTAAAAGAGGGGGGTCGGGTATAAAGTTAGCGACCCCATTCCGTAGAAAAACTAACTCGCTAAAAAACGTTAACCAGAAAAAATAATTCAAATCATTTAAACTCTGCTCTGGGAGTTGAAGGAATAATTACGACGCCTCATGATGAAAGCCGAAATTTTTCAGAAGTCACGAGGCCGATACACCTTTTAACAACTAGAGCAACACTCTTTATAGGTACATGAAACGTCCGGACAATGTGGGAGACAGGGAAGACTATTCAAATAGCAATGGAAATGAGGAGATACAAACTAGCAGTACAGGGAATGAGCGAAACCCATTGGACACAAGCTGGACAACAAAGACTAGGTACGGGAGATATGCTACTGTATTCCGGTCACGAAGAGCGAAAAGCCCCATGCACTCAGGGAGGACAAGTGACCAATAAGGACGCTAGGCTGTTCATACCAGTTGAAGGTCATTGATTTGGCATAGTGTTAAGATTAGACAAGTCGTATTTCGATTGGTAGATAATTCACGTGATAAAAAGCCGGACATAGAATCATAACAAATTGGCATACGATCCTTTCTTAATCCATAACAGTAAGTAGTAATACAAAAAAGGAATACGTTTCTGACTAATTAAACTAAATATACTGTCAAGTACATAAGTGTTTCAATATAAAGAACAAACAAAACTGGGGGGTATAAAACAATTACAGGTTAAAGTGAAATAAGTTAGATGTTAGGAAGAAGAAGAAGAAGATGACGATGGTGATGGACGACAGTATATCAAACAACAATAATAAGATCATCTGATGATTCAGGTTAAAGGTACTAAGGATTCTTCTGTTGTGCTATAACTTTTGATTTCATAAGTCTTACGCCAACTGATCTTGGTAAGAACTTGAAAAAGTATGCTTTTAATTCATGTGCAAAATAACCAGTAGTTTGTTGTTCAACACCATACATATCTAATGCACTTTTAGCATAGGCTTTGGCAGTTGGTATAAACAGTGTGGGTTTCATAAGATTAGTCAATTTGGTTGATACAGATAATGGATGCATCGTTTGTATGATAAAATTCTTTTCATATTTTTCTGCAGCTAAACATTTGGAAAATTGAAGAATAGCTGCTTTCGTGGAAGAATACATTGTAGCATAAGGATACACTCTTAAACCTGCAAAAGATCCAATATTAATGATACCAGGATTAGGTTCTTTCTGTGTTAACATTTTCGGCAGAATGATGCTTGTCATTGTTACCGCAGAAAGAATATTACAATGGATGATATTTCGAATTGTTTCTTCATTTGGTGAATTCACTTCTCCAGCAAACAACTCAAAAGGTAATCCCATACCAACATTATTCACTAAACAAGCGATTGTAGATAATTGTTCAATAGCAGGTTTGATTATTTCATAGACATCATTCTAAACAGAAGAGAAAACGAAATTGGTAGAAGTTGATTATTCGGATGTTTCTCATGTGTTTCAATGATGGAATATTGGAACTGTTTCAACAATGTCAATATATTTTATAGAGTTAAGATAATGATCATGTGCTGACTAGTGACTGGTTCCATAAGGTATTTCCTGGAGTTCTGGTGAGAAGCAGTAATTAGTGGAGTTCAATCAGGTATGTTGGGAGATATCAACTCACGGAAGACAATGGTGAATGATTGCTCAAATTCGTGGATTGGTTGAAGTTAGACATTACCGCTGTTGGATTCAGGCCGGCTAAGTGCTTTATCGGTTAAGTGCTCTGGCGCGAGACTGTTAGGTCTTTGGTTCGAATCTGGCTCGCGAGGCGAGATCGTGGATGCGCATTGCTGAGCAGTCTCATAATAGGACGAAACAGGCGTCCAGGGCTTCTAGGTTCTCCATGGTGGTCTAGCTTCGACTGACTTATCATCTCAACTCTATAAAATTACTAAAATCTCCACAAAACCTCTTCTGATTGTGTCAATATATGCTAATGTGTTTGGATCGTGAATTGTGGATGAATCTGAGATTAGTTCTTTACATTATTTCTAAATAGCTAACGTGATATTCACTGAGTGTGTGGAATCGAACATTCTGTTGTATATCCAACTAGTATGCTTTATTTTGATGATAAGTGTCTATGTATTTCCGTTTTCAATATTCCCGACTGAAATCCAATGAGTTTCTGTTAATTTAGGTGCATCGTGTGTGGGTGCCTTGATATTAGAATGAGGGAACGTTGTGAGAAATTCGGTGATGAGATTGACAGTGAATTGTCAACTGTCCACCTCAGTGTTTCCCAATGAATGTTACAATGTGCGTAATGATATTTGCAATTACTGTGTATACAGTTATTTCTGAAACAACATTGGAATGATAGTCTGCCAGTCTCTGCTGACACATATACACACAGAATGAATAACTCCAAATGGTCACAAGTTATATCAATAAATATTTTATATTATATATTTGAAATCATGAGTGAATTGAAGCTAGACCAACATGGAAAACCTGAGAGCACTGAACAGCCGTTTCTTCTTATTGTGGGACTCCTCAGCAGTGCGCATCCACGATTCCACGGCCGTCCAGTGCTTCAAGGTTTTCAATGATGGTCTAGTTTCAATTGACTAATGATTTCAACTATATGAAATTACTAAATATCTCCGTAAAACCTCCTACTAAAATATGTTCTTTACTTGAAAATCTCAAAATATATTGCTCATGGTCAATGATCACCAGCGGACAACAGCAATCCACTGACTCACTCACACTCTCAACCATCTTCTACACTAGTGTAGTGTGAATCTGTCATTAGTCTCATACATCACACAAATTAAAGGTAGTTTCGATCAATTTCATTTACAGACACGTCAACATCGAACTATTCGACTAAATATTCACATGTATCACATTTATATTATTACTGAAATCTGAATGTCATCTCGAATTAATCGACCGTCAACAACAAACTGATATATATTTCAACAAAGCAGCCACACAAATCGCACAACATACTCTTTGCTCACATATCCAGTATGAATTCGTCACATTCGAATTTCGGTATTATTCAGTGTAGCTTGATGCAAATGATTGTGTAAATGAAGTAGTTGATCAGGTAACAGGTTGGAGTGAGACACTGGCAACTGATGTGATTGATGAGGATGACTAAAATTATCTTATACTACAAAATACTCATCCACACATTTGTCATGTATTATCATCATTGCAGACATGTTAACTGCCTCTCTATCTTCCTCTCACACTATGTCAACTGCAATCACCCTTCCCTTTCTGTCACACTACTCGAAAACGAACGGGAACCTTGATGACAAACCACCGTTCCACCTTATCGACCAGAGAAAACAGGAAAACATTGGTGTTGCAAATAAAGCACCCCACAATCACTCGTGAGGTAATTATGAATACGGTACTGCATACATTGTGTGGTAGTGTGGAACCATACATACACACACAGATAAACATTTACTCGCCTCCGATTTGTGGTGTTCATGAGATCTACTTAACTACTGTGGAATATCAATGAGGTGTTTATTATATGACAGTAATATATTTGATTCACGTGAATACTTTTCGTGAAAAGAATGTCTTCAGTCCTATTTCTGCATTCAAACACATATTATCATGGATGCTGGTTTTAGCATGACCACATGACTCAAGCGTCACTATTAACTCTACTAACTGTTCATCACGTCATGGACAAAATGTCTACTCATGCACACCTCCTGTAAGTCTACGTAAACACTACCGAGTGACAAGGCAAACTGATTACTTGTTTCAATGATAATGATTTCAAGATAACATGATTAATAGATTAATTGAGAATGAATATTACTTTAGTAAAATCTGCTACCACAATTCGTGTTTGAACATTGTATGTAGTTGCAATTCGATTGGCAACGCAGGACAGTTGTTCTTCATCATTACTGATAAGCATGATATTGAGACTCTCTTTGGCCAATTCTTCTGCATATGCTTCACCAATACCTGATGATGCACCAGTCACAACTGCCCATTCACCAGCTTTACGAAGTGTTTTCCGTTTAGAAAAACACCATTTTTTAACGGTGAACTTTAAGCAGATCAATAGCACTTTTGTAATTTCATTATTTATCAAACCAACTGCGAGTAGTATTAACAGAATGCGCCAATGGTCTATAGGGAATCTTAAAATAGATGCGAGATTCTAGATTTCAAGAAGAAAGACAAACACCGTTTACATATATCAATGTGAAATTTCACTTACTATAGTAGATATAACTTTATTGTCAACATACATTAAAATGATGATGCCGAATGGGACTTTGACAGTAACCGTGAATAATCATCTTTAAACGTCCGATACTCCTCTGTTTATTGTTACGATTATAAGCGGACAAATATGATGATTTTATCAGCTATAGCCGAACATGGCAATTAAATTTTATTGGTATATTGTTCAGAATTTTTCCCTGTCTAATCCATCAGCAGAAGTCTATTTTAGACTATACATAGCTAGACGCAATCGAATGAGCGATCCCTTTCTTCGATTTCATAGTCAATGTATTTTGACTTAGCATAGCTTTATATCACATGCACTTTTCGGTTACTTACAATGAAAATCATTTAGTCAGCTATCAATCTGCTACACAGTTCTAAACCGAATACTACTGATAACGTTTACGATATCGTTCATAAACCATCCTGTGAATAAATCAATCAACCAATGATAATCTTACAAGTATAAAATCCTCTTATGTCCTCAAATCACCCTTGAACTAGACACGAATACATGTCAAGGAGTGGATGATGATTGGAAAGTTGTATAGGCTTATCAGTAACTCAACACTGATGAAATGGCGTGGATTGGTATAAGTCCGTTTTACTGAAAACTACCTCCTCATAAACTGTGAAATTCATTAGATACTTGAAAGAGTCATTCCTCTTAAATGAGTGATTAAACAGTGTCCGTTTAATTCCTCTTCCATTTGAAATCATCAGAATCTCCGAAAATTTCATTCACATTGCAATAGATTACTCAAACACAGTGAAACATATACTTGATAGTTTTTATTGACCCGACTACATTACGAATGTGAGCTTTACTATGAGCAATCAAATCGTAATTTTTACTTGATTTCATCATGTGTGTGTTGTTTGTGAAAGTAGTGTTTAGAATCCCTGACTAGTGTCATGTGACATACTCCATCATGGTAACCGCGTATTCTTGTGAATGCCAAACTGTTGCTGGTCATTTAATGTCATCCTACTATGGAATGTACTAGTAGCAATGGACCTGTGGAATGGTATACAGGAATTACTGTATACTACAATGTAAATGAAAATCATTCAGTATTGTTTGTTTGAATCTTCCCATCGATGTGTTAGGACTGCAACTGGTCAGTCTCTAATTAATATATAGCCTTAATTCACATGCTTATGAATTAACTCTACATCGAGGCAATACACACAGTATGCACATATGCGAATAACAGACTGATCAATTGCAGTCCTAACATGTCGATGGGAAGATTCAAACAAACAATACTAAGTGAATTTAAACTTCACCCTATCGCACAAGTAAGTGGCTATCAGGAGTCACTGGCCGAGTGGATAACGCAATGGCATTTATTATTATTATTATTGGCTTTATTCAATATGACATATTATATATTATATTATTATATATTATATTATATTATAATATTATATATTTTAAGCGAAAGGTACTGGGTTCTAATCCAAGAGTGAATATCAACTCCGAGATGCAGGTACATCCTATTGACGAGTCCCAAATAGGACGAAACGCGCGTCAAACTGAATTCCACTGCTACCCACTATCCCTGAATGATAATCAATTATTTTGTCAAATATTTTAACCAGCTGTTAGATATTCAGTTATTATTAACATATTGAGATTTCATATATGTATTACATTACACTTACCAGTTGACTTTGTATAGTTTGATTAATATACGACTGATTTGAATCAACCTATTGAAAGTGATATAAAGTGATAGAAAGTCAAAATTACATCCTTTGATTCATTGAAGTTTCCAGTGAACAGTATCTCCCTACCTAATTCAATATGATGATGATTATTCAGTGTGGTATTTGTCTTTGGTTTCCATTATGATATTTTATTCATTATGACAATAATTTATTTGGATGAGTGACATGTTTACTGAGGATACGATATTCATGTATTGGAAATCGGTTGATACTATACTCAGAATGACATCCATTGTGTATGGTTCGCTAGAACTCTAGGTATATTTCATGTATGTCATTTCATCCTAATTAATAATTGAATTATGTATACAATCAATATGTGCAAATGAGTGTACTTTCGACTAGGATAGTTGCCGTCGACTTTCTCCTGTTTTGGAGCTATTGGATCTTCTTTCGTATCAATCTTGATATTTTTACTTCGCATCGTAGGAATCTCATTGATTCCTGATGTTTCTTAAAGTAAAGCTTAACAACGACATTGATATGATAGAACAGTTCAGTATTATTTATTTGGTTACACTAAGAATGTTATCTACTACTTGAATGGAATAGATTTGCCACATTCTGTATTTTATTGCAATAGTAAGGTAAGTCATAAATTTGTTGCTACATTCAATCTGGAGATGTTCGATCAACTAACCAACTTTGATCAAAATGTGATCCTAAATAACATCAATGGGATTAAAAATATACCCGGGTGGAGACAATCGAATGTACTACAGCCCAACATTACAGACTATCTCACTTAATTCTGATAGCTATACAATGAACAATTAATTTGCAAATTAACAATCAATGGTTTCAATCTTGACTGTTCCTCCTGTAAATATTAAGTCTATTGTCTATGATTTCATTGTTCATACGTTTTCATACCGATTGTGCTTCATTTCTGTTCGTTCCTTATCGATCTTCTACCAAAATACATTCTATATCTGATCATTACTATATACTACTTATATGGATATAAGTAGACTACACAACAGTAGTAATGATTATTATAATAATAATCATAACGATTAAGTTATTATACAAGAAAGACACATTCAAAACTTATTTAAGTAGTATCAAACGGTTATGTTAATTTCAGTGATGAATAGATAACGACATACCATTTCCTTCTGATTAGTGTTTCGTGCTTATCCAAAGCTTCCTCAGTTAAATAATCAACAAAGTCACCATTTATATAGTCAGTTTTAATGAGAATTTGAAAGACAGAAAATACTCATAAATACCATAGCATAACGTTAAGCATTTCTATTGGCAGCCAATTAAACTTTAGAATGAATTTGGTAAACAATAAATCAAACGATTCAGATTAACACCGCCTATTCATTGTTCTATGAACTAAGTAATGTTCTTTAATCTAGATAATTTAGTTGTACAGATCTCATTGTTATCGTCATCCGAACTCTCAGTACATTGTCTAGAATAATAATGAAAGCTATTTGATAAATACCTCTACCTCAGAGAACAAAATAACACCCATAGAAACTAAAGGGAGCTGTGAATCTCTATCATTGTAATAGGCATGTAGGAGTGAAGTTCGTTACGAGCGTAACTCTTCAGGATATCTGTCATTGTAGGTTGACAATATTAGAAGAAAAAAAAACTATCGAAAGCTAAGGAGTGATTGACATGTAGTGACCGGTTTGTCTCGATAAGAACACGATTGGAATAATAGAAACAATTATTATTACTATAACCAATTGTACCAACGATTGTTTTACTGTACTTGTTTAACTGTATCAAACTCATTTCTTGTTCCGCTATCTGCCTTGTTTGCTTCGAAATTTCTTACGCTCTGCTCATATTGCTTGTAATCGTTGGCACGTCTCGGTACTCTTTTGACACCACGAGATCGCCAATAAATACACTTTATCTGGACTAATTAAAGTTTTCTGGTTTGCGAGCTATCGAATGGACCGAGTAGTTTCTGGGTGCGTAATCAAATTGTAGTGGTGATCATAGTCAAACTCGACTCGACACCATCAACAGACTCTTATATTGTCTTAAGTGATAAAGTGAGACGTTCAGAAACTTTTAAATGAAAATAATCTATATGTACAAAATATATATAAGAAATGATTTCATATAAGGATATGAATCAGTGACAAAGAATTGGTTTTTAGAAAGAAAGGTATAAAGTAATTCTAATCTCATAGTTTAAGGAAGACAAAGATTTCATACACTTACGCCATTGTGATCGACTCTGAGTCACATCAACCAGGGTCTCCAAATACTGGTTAGTTGCGCGAACCCTTAATCAAGTAGTCTGTATCTACCAACATGGCTCAGATCAGAAGTTGGTGACTTTGTGAACCGATGCCACATTTTAGTTTGGATGCTAATGACTTTCCTCGATCCGTCTACAATATTAGTCAGCATTTTGCCCAGTGGTAATTGGTAGTTTTTTATTCGTAATAAGTGGCCCAACCATCTCAGTCGATGTAGATTTACAACCTAATCAACTGATTTTCTATCATTCCCTAATAACCTGCGTCTAACCTCTCCATTACTTACCTGGTGATCTCAGAGGATACGAGCAATATTTCTAAGACATCTATGATCAAATAATAGTGACTTACGAGTATTCTCCTTACCCAATAGCCACATTTTGCAGCCGTAAAACAGAACGAACTGATGCTCAGTATACTCGTCCTTTAATTAATAGACAGACATATCGCCTTCGACATAGGTGATGTAAGTTGGCAAAAGCAAAACGAGCTTTTCGGATCCGTGTAGAGATTTCGTCAGAAATCAACTCTTGGGTAGGATAAGATTTCCAAAATTACTTGAAGTTGTAGACGTGTTCGATTACTTTGCCTCCTATCCTTGGTTCAGGTTTTGATGTAGACCAGTTCTGAAGCAACGCTTTCACTTTCAGACTATGTCATCTACGTATTTTAAGTCATTTAGTAGACGTCCTGGTAGAAGATTGATTTTCTAGAGTCTGGTAGACGAAAACGTTATTTCTATGAAGAAATTAAACAAAAATATAGATAGTGGACAGCCTTGCCGGACACCACTACAGTGCCATAAGCTCTCACTCGACTGGTAGTATTCGAGTAAAGAGCAGTCATAATGAATATATACTTCTGTGGCACACCTTTCAATGACAAACTGTTATAAACAGAGAGGATGCTTGTTATAACGCTGGCGGTTTCTGATTATAACAGCCCTTTCACTTTTTACACGTATGTGGGACGTTAATTTACCTTAGACGAATATCTACAATAGATTCCCACCCAGTGTTTATTCTACAGGACTTCAACACAACTCAGATCAAGA